AAAAAATTGTTGGCTTGAATGTTTTGGTTGACTGGTAGCCTTAAGGTTTGAGTATGAGAGCTACATAAAGAGGCGAAAGGTCGCACACAAAGCTTACCAATGGTCCAAGTACTGCCTTGTAAGTATATCCGCACCCAGAAAAATGAATTGATTCCAAGCAAAATTTCGGCTTGTTTTCGCTTTTCTTGGTTTATTGGAGCCAATTTCTTGAATCATGGAAAAAGTTTCTTCGAATTAAGAAATAGAAAATTGAATCAAGAAAATCGGCTTGAGAAAAGAAGTCAAGAATGCTGTGCGGATGGTGTCAGTTTTAAACTTTGTAAAATGCTAATGACAGACCTCGGCTTCGGGGACATCCTGCCTCTTTTGGCGCCGCACACTCTAACGTGTTATGAGCGTTTCTGCTGGTGCTCCCTCCCAGTGGTGATCCCGGCGCTACAATAGAGCTAGTGAGTCGGTGAGATGACACCAGCAATTGCGACCAGTTTCAAGTGAAATTGGCGTCGTTTTCGGCCCTTGAGTCCGCCGGATGCGATTGCCAGCGCAGCTTCCGCTGGCCCCTCTTTGCGTGAGGCGCCACCGCCGCCAGTACCAGCCCTTGCTTAGTTCTCCGCTAACAATGACTATTCTTGGGACTAGAAGCCATGACATTCCCCATCAGCTCAGTAAGACATCGTACTGGAAATCCTTTGATAAGCATTATCTGAAGTCCCCAAAACTCTTTACTAAGCGTACACCATAGATGCGTACACACAGACGAGAACTGAAGCAGAAATAAAATTCTAAATTTAGCGAGATTCAAATTTACTTGTGATGCCCGCGTACAACAGTACTCGTAGGATTGCGATGACATTTTCACTGGTAAAACAAGTGTGCAATATTTGCACACCAACGTGTGCAAGTTGTGATTTTGCACATTACATGGTGTTTAACTCATGTTGTACACTTGTGTGGTGTGCAAATTTTAGACGTTTTGTAAACGTTTAAATTCTGCACACTTGGGCACACACAGTTGTATGCTGTCAATAGGGAACCATACGATGTACAGCTGCTACACGTTTCGGAAGTGTCGAAATTTTAAACACCAATTGACGTATATCTAAGTTAGACACTATAAAGTGTCGAGAAAATGCACACTTGAACTTAAACGTCAATTGACGTGCAAAATTAAACACTTGTTTTACCAGTGTTATTGAATACTTTGCGCAATTCTTTTTCCGTTAAACTGTGACGAACAAATGAGAGATTATCACCACAAATCCACAAATAGATGAGGGATTAACCGTCGCGGTTTTCAAATACGTCCAACACATTAAGGTGCATTAGGTTTTGAATGACCGTATCGTTGTCACACTGTAATTTGCTGTACATGCTTGCAAAAATATTTACAACGAACACTAGGTTAAAATCGTCCAGTAAAGCGATCAACAAAGAACTATTCATAGTAGAGTTTATCATTTCTACCCAGACAGTACACCCCTCTTGCTCCTAGTCGCACATCTTTTCTCCGCCTCACTTCCTGTTCCGACCGATTC